TTCATCCTCGATACTCCGGGGTTACGCTCACGATTCTGCCGACAAACTTATATTCACTATATTTTTCAAGTACAAAAAGCATTTTATTCAGTCGTGTAAACAATTTCCAAAAATACACAATTAAAGAGCTGTAAAAGCCATGAGGTATCTCCAGTCATGGTATCAACAGCGATATAAAATATGTTATCTAAACCTGAAAGTCCCCCACAATGCAAGACCATTGATACTTAAATCTCTATTTATTGACCCTCTCCTCGCCGATTTCGTTTTATTTCCTTGTGAGGCTGAATTCATTAAAAAATCTTATCACTACTTGTCAAATGTTCTTGCAAAATCCTTCAAATTCACTTTCACATATTCCGACGATGAGTTTATTATATACATGTATAACAGGAATTGCATCGACCACGTTGATCATGTATACCCTTCTGAGCAAAACATTGAAGACACTAAAAACTTTTATATATTATCCACTTACCTCGTGTTTTAATGAAAACTTTTCGATTTTGAAATTTGCATGTTACATTACTTTGTTTTCCTACACATTATCGGATATCTATATAAAAAAAAAAAAAAAAACGTGAAAAAAGCTTACGTTAAAAATTGAAATTCCAATTTCTATATGTTCAATAGTGTCGTTTTCATTATTGCTTTATCAGAAAGAGGACGAAAAAAATTTGTTCCCAGAATTTGTTAGACTGCTCTTCTGATATAATATAGATTTACAGGATTACCAAAAGTTTGAGCACTCTTTTCCAGTTTTCAAAATGATTACATCTCATTTCACATACATTTAATATAAATGTTTCATCACAAATGTGCCAGAACTATATTTTTTAACAAATTCGAAACCGAACAAACTTAATTTTTTAGTAACAAGTAAAATGAACAACAGAAATGTATCCTTCAAAATAACCTTTGATACCGAAATTTAAATTTAAAAGAAAATCTCCTATCAAAAAGTTAACCCATTTATTTCCGAGTTATCTCCCGTTGTGGTCTTTGGACTCTGAAATACCCGGATCATGTCTAACAGGCACTACCCAACTGCCATACAACGCCAACAGTTACCAAGGTAAACATTTGACGATATTATGTAGCTTATAACAAAACTTTTATATTATATTATCTATATAAGTATTCGCCAAGTATTTAGATAAACATAACTGATTTCAATGTTTAATGTCAGACTCCAAACACAAAGAATGTTGTAAAGACATGATATAGCAGTGACATATATATTGTAGGGGGACACAACGCGGAAGTACCGTGATATTATTTCTTAAAACCTGTATATAACCTGACCATTATATTATCAAAAATATATCTGACAATAAATCTATATTACTAATTGCCAACATATTGTTTTAAAGTTAAACAACTAAGCTTAGCCTATGTAAGATTCCCAGCACTGTTTGCATCATGACCTTCTATAGGTAATCTAATAACATGTTTGATCACAGGCACTTGTATTCAGAATTAATTATCCTCCGCCACTTCTGCATTTCCGACTACCGCCCAGTAGTTGTTTGGTATAAGGGGAGAATTTGATAGTGGGTGGAGAGTATGAACATACCCGATATAGATAGTAAGTCAGGCAGAATCTACCAAACAAAAATAGGAAGTTATGTAGACAGCCAAACCAAGTTGTCTCAATAGACTCGTATTGCTGGCCGCACACAACCTTTCCTAAGTTATATATTTTATTCCTTTGTTTTTCAGAGTTGAAAAAAATAAATGTGTACATTTAACAAACTTTCCATTGTCTTGTGACCAGGTAAGCCGGGTAATTGCACGTCGTTGCCCATTGTTATGCGTGTCGACTATCCCGGGACGTATTGATCTGTTTATATGTTACTACACATACGCGGTAACTACCTGTACCGCTCATTGAATTATCTGCGCAATGACTCACTATAAAATATAGTCGATTACAGGTGGACTTGCTAGCCGTATAGGTTATTTCACAACATTCATAAATATGTGAAGTTTAAAACATGACTGCGATGTCATCTACTGTTCTTATTTAGGTAAGAATACAAGAATTTACCAACATACGAATTTAAAAATCAAGCAAGACATAAATATATCCTTGTTCATTTCAAAATATTATCTTGAATGAATAAAAAAACAACTTTGTCCAACGTTTAATAACAATGTACGTTGATGTTCATTTCTAAGTGTGCAGTTATCCTTTAAAGAACGTAAATTACAAAACTCCAGTTTCCTATTACATTTCCACACTACAAATAGAACTTAAGTTAACAAACTCACAATCCAGGTAATGTTTGATACCATCTAGGTGGCGTTAACTACAATCTAAACATTTTGATATTTTAAATTAGTTTATGAGCAACTGATCGTTAAGGCCACTGACTTTCTGTAAGTATTGCTAGTTACCACATAAATAATCTCTGGCGGCAGTAGATCGGCTGTAATCCTGAAATGATAAGTTGTTCATCCATGCCAGCTTGAAACAGTCTCGCGGCATCAGTTGCTCCTAGACTATGATTTGTCCAAAAACCGTGAAATCTTGATTCCTTGCTATACGCCATACTTACATATCGATTAAGAATATCCACACCGACAGGAACATCGTCATACCAACACTTTGGTGGTGTATACTTTATAGGCCGCAAATACAATTTTTCGCACGGTCTTTTTCGGTTACAAATAAGGTCATTGAAACGTTAAATATTAGAGGTTGATATATATTGCAGTATAAGAAAAAGAATTGATGTAAGTATGTTTTTGTGTATGCATTTGATACATATATATTGTGATAATATTTCAAATTTACATGTATCATAACTTTTACATTTACTTTAGGATCGTGTACTTATATCTCGACATTTGTTAGATTGTAATGCGGCTTATCAGCACGGGTTTGTTTTGAAATTAGTCAGCAATAATAAATTCTTTCTGGATGGTTTTAAATACAGCATACCTTCTACAACCAAAAATGTTCAGCTGAGAGTAAGGCTCAACTCGATGGCTCTATGCTCCTGTACTGCTCTGAGGCAATATTGTTAGCCCTAAATTAAAAAGCGAAGTGCACCAGGAGTTTAGCAGCTCTTTTCTGCCAACATTGTTTTTTCTTAATTTTTTTTATAGACACTGGTTGTGAAGTTTTTGAATTTCATTTTCCTGTGTGATTAAGACCTTTATTTTACCATCCGAATGTCTACCTATGTTTTGAAAGTCTTCTCCATAAACAAGTTTGTATGCTACTATTTTACTTCAATATTGTGATCTATTTTTCAGTGTATGTCTGCTATAAACCTTCCTTAATTGACATAATAGATCATACTCCCCTTTCACTTTACAGCGTGTTCACCTTACTCGCTTTTGTGTTATTAACAGCTTTCCCGATTTCAACCAGTCAGATATTGTAATAGTGCGTGTTGCTATTAAACCTATTTTTTTCTCTGTTTTCTTCTTCATTCAAATCCAACTGTGAACACAAATATCTTATTAGACTTAGATAATATCATACTTATAATACTTGTTTGCGGTGTATTGTGTAAATTTAATGTGACAAACATGTGTTATGTGCGAAACATGACGCTGTTCTGTCCGCCTATAATATAAGCAAGGTCGCTAACTCCATCTCCCTTATATAATGACCCAGTTCCAGAAAACATGCGATTTTGTCATAACCGTTCATAGTATGACGCTGGGAGCTGTCTAGATCGACAGGAATATATGTTTTCTGTATTTTGATGTTTGATTTGCCATACATCATGCAGTATAATTTTCGGTAGACTTCATGAAACAACGGAAAATGGTCGACTTCAGTTGGTCTGGAACTGGGTCATTTTATTAGGGGGCAGGTTGGGTCATTTTATTAGGGGGCAGGTTAGCGACCTTGATTATATTATAGGTGTATTGACAGACGAGGCTAGTACCTGTAGTACATGTACATGTACGTTTACTACTCATTAAAGACCCCGATATTGCTCTATTTCGGTCTCAGCTATATTCATCACCGGCTTTCTCAAAGGGGAAAAAATAGCACTCAGGACATCTTTATGTCTTACTGTTTTCAAGTAATTATCAACTACATAAAGTTTAGGAGGTACATTTGTTCAGTATCGATTTTAAGGGTGTTATTTGACTTAATAACCCCCTAACAGAACTTATGATACATGTCTGAACACTAGTATAATCCGAAGAATATTTGTATAGGAAAATCCTGTTACTTCATCTCCGTAAAATTACTAAAGTGTATGAACTGCCCATTGAAAGAACTGCGCAATGCCTCACCGCACACAATAGTCGATTACAGGTAGACTTTCTAGCCGTATAGGTAATTGGACAACATTCATAAATACATAAAAACATTACTGTGATGTCATCTATTGTTCTTACTAAGATAAGAATAGCAGAATTCCCAACATGCAAATTTGAGATAAAGCAAGACATGAAAGATATTTCAATTCAAAAGAATATCTTGAATGAATAAGAAAACGTTAAACACAATAAAACAAATCGTAAAAATGTATGCGTGTGTATATTGTGTATGAGCTGTATTTTGTTACAAGCCCGAAATAGAATGCATGGAACTGATTAGTAATAGATGAAATTAAAAGCTGAAAGTTAAGCTCAAAGATATAATTTTGACATCCGAGATAAAACATGTATTCTACGTTAAGCTTAATATCACTTTAACAAGTAATGTGCTACCCCATTAATTCTACAGTAAGCTTAATATCACTTTAACACGTACAGTTGTGGGATAGCACAACGTTACACGATGTGCGGTGTGCGCACGATGTGTGCACGATGTGCGAACGATAAAAAGTTGGACGATCATTGCTGGCGCACATTTGTGTGCACGATGGAGGAACGATGTGGGATAACAATCGTGGTTAATGTAAATTGAGGAATGCCTTAACAATATATACGGTTTCGTGTTGAAACAAATATACCTGATTTTTACGAATGTTTCTATATTCTACCTACATCTATGAGCTTATCTATATGTCTATAATTTCTTTAAATTAGAAATTGTGTTTTCGGTATTTTTTAAACGACTTTAATCGACACATGTGAAATTACAACACTGTCCCGTATACAGGTAAACATAGCCACTTTGTATATGTACCTGGACCGTAGTTTTCCCCCGCTTGGGGCGCTTGCGTATTTCGTCGGGTAGGGCCAGAGGTGTGAAAGCCAAGGTGAAGGGGAGCTATAGGCAAACCGAATGCAAATAACAAATACTAAACGTGTCAGGTACAGGCCAGGTAAAACTCCGATCATTCATCAAATTGTTATTTACCTGTAGCCAACCCAATTTAACGGTCAGTGTAATGCTGTGTTACACGTATTGTAAAGCTGTACATAATCTTCATGACTGTGATGAGAAATTACAGTAATACATACAGTTTTCATTATTGCATACCAGCTTTCCGTATTTTTTTCATTCCGTGATATTGATCTACAAATTGTATCCTATCGCACAGTTGTGTGGAGAGAAGCATACAACGGGGCGAACGATTGTTAAATCGCACAGTTGTGCACACCGTGTGTGGACGATGTGCGGACGGTGTGTGAACGATGTATGCACGGTGTGCGCACAATGTTTTTGGTGCGTTGTGCGGTCACACAACGGTAATGTGCTACCCCGTTAACTCTACCGTAAGCTTAATATCACTTTAACCAGTAATGTGCTTCCCCATTATTTTCTACAGTAAGCTTAATATCAATTTAACCAGTAATGTGCTTCCCCATTAATTATACAGTAAGCTTAATATCACTTTAACAAGTAATGTACTACCCCATTAATTCTACAGTAAGCTTAATTTCACTTTAACCAGTTATGTGTTACCCCATTAATTCTACTGTAAGTTTAATATCACTTAAACCAGTAATGTGCTACCCCATTATTTCTACAGTAAGCTTAATATCAACTTAACAAGTAATGAGCTACCCCTTTAATTCTACTGTAAGCTTAATATCACCTTTACAATTAATGTGCTTCCCCATTAATTCTACAGTAAGCTTAATATCAATTTAACCAGTAATGTGCTTCCCCATTAATTATACAGTAAGCTTAATATCACTTTAACAAGT